AAACAAACTCGCACAGAGACAGGGATATCCGTAGAGACAGTCTGAACGCGACAGCAAATGGGCGAGAGGGCAACAGAAAAATTAGTCGTTGAAATTCGACCGCAACATGTCACGTCACGCGGTCGGTCTCTTCTCGCTTGCTTTCTTCCCGCCGCGCCGTTTCCTTCCGCCCCCCTACCGCCCCGTTGATTGGTGCCGTATCTAGACTATTTTTGGGCCCGCTGTCTCCTCGTTTGATGGCTCGTTGTCGGCTGGCCTCCTCCTTGCCCTTGTGCCAAGAGGCCATGAACCTCTCAGCTCCCTGTAGCACCCCCGCGTGCCACGGTACCCCCCCCTCCACCTTCGCCGCCTCACTCCAGACTAACTTCGGGACTCCGAAGACGCTCGGCTTGTCGGTCGTGGAGCCGTACCTGGCTTCGAACATCTTCATGTCGTCCTTCAGGCATGTCAGCCAGTTCTGCTCCGGGTTTCCCTGGCCCGGGTCCTCCCCTCCCACCAACTCGCCGAACATCAGCCGTTTCGGAAGCCGCCCGTCCGGCTGTCTTGCCACGGCCCCCGCAAAGAGCAGGCGCCGTTGACGGACAGTGGCCTCCACGCTCTGGCAGCCGACCCTCTTTAGCGCCTGGGCGTATGACAGCTGCCGGTAGGTGCCTCGTTTGCGCCGGTAGCCGATGACTCGCAGGAGTAGCCGGTGGTGTGTCGTCTGCAGCATTCCGTAGTGGTTGCGGCGTGGGGACCATGTCATGCAGCCGTATAGCAGTGCCTCCACTGCCTCCGCCTGGAGCAGGCGGGCTTTGAGGCGAAACGGTGCTCCCGGTCGGTCGAAGAGCTCCGTGGCGTATCGCTTAATGCACGCCCACGCTGCTTTGCTCCTGTGGTTGATCTCTCGGGTAAGGTCGCCCTGCTCGTTGACGAGGCCGCCCAGGTATCGGAACTCGGTCGTCTGTGCGTACCTTTGCCCCGCTGCTTCGATGGTCAGCACCGGCGGTGGCGGCGGCGGCGGTCGCTGTCTCTCCTTCACCCGCATCACCAGGGTCTCCGTCTTCCTCTCCGACACCGTCAGCCCGAACTCCCAGCACCTTGAAAAAATCAAATGTGGACCCTGGCGAAACATGTTGGCGATCTGTAGACATCTCAGCCAAAGCTGTGACTGTTCTCAAAGGACGAACAGCTGATTCGAACTCGTTCGGGAGGCAGACTGCCCTAAAGATCGAAAAACTCAACATTTGTCGAAAGAAAGGAAGATCAAGATTTATGGCCATAAACAGTGGTCTAATCGCAAATACTCATGGGTACTTAATATTCGTTTGAGTGCGTATTTTCAAGTTGCTCATTCGTACTCGAGTACTTGATGACTGCTTTGCTCATCCGTTGAGTATTTCCTTGAGTGAGTATTTCGAAAATATCGTTCGGAAATGCAGTTCGAAACGTGCACCTCGCATAGCACGCAGAGGGAGTGGAGGACTCCAACTTATCTGTGGTTGATTTCAATGGACTTGCGGACCCCTCGGGGCCACTATATTCGAGTGTACCTTTTAATAGTTTTTATAGGAGTTNCTGCTTTGCTCATCCGTTGAGTATTTCCTTGAGTGAGTATTTCGAAAATATCGTTCGGAAATGCAGTTCGAAACGTGCACCTCGCATAGCACGCAGAGGGAGTGGAGGACTCCAACTTATCTGTGGTTGATTTCAATGGACTTGCGGACCCCTCGGGGCCACTATATTCGAGTGTACCTTTTAATAGTTTTTATAGGAGTTTTTTCCAGGGTACACCTCGGTACTAGTTTTTTAGGCGGATCCAGGCGGGGCGGTACTGCAAAGTGGCGG